TTAAACTGTAGGTTTTATATTTAACTTTTTTTTTAAACTTCCCTCCAGCTTTATGGTTCCATAATGTAATTTCTGAAGAGTTTGGAGTGGGAGTGAATGTCTTTTGGAAGCACCTTCCATCTGAATGCTATGATAAAACAGATACCTATGGAAACAAAGATCCTACAGCAGCATCAAGAGCTGCACAAATTTTGGACAGAGCCTTAAAAACACTGGCTGAATTACCAGAGGAATACAGGGACTTCTATGCACGGCGAATGGTTTTACATATTCAAGACAAAGCCTATAGCAAAAATTTTGAATAAATAATGAAGTGAATGCAATGAATTTCATTTTTAAATACAGTTCAGCTCAAATAGTGGGGAAGTACAAGATACAAAGTTTTTTTCCAAGATGCACTCTGTTCAGACAGGAAGGATAAATCAATTTCAGATTTATAGGTAAAGTGTGAAGGGGTATTTGTGTGGTTTCTACTTAATACAGGTTATGGTTGAAACAATGCTGTACTGGGACTGCTTTTTAGCTTTCAGATGCAAATAACTAAAATACAGCTTACAGTGACAAACGTAAGAAAGTACATTGAATCATTATATATGAAGTTTACTGGGAGAACGGGCTTCAGTGTTTCTGATCCAGTGATTTACTAGTGTCACCAAGAACCTCTAGGATTTTTTCCTCCTGTTTTCAACTGCAGCACTGGCATCATCCTAAGGCTGGCTACCCTCGTGGTCATGGGATGATTGCCAGCAGCAGTTGGGGCTGTGTGCATCTTCATTTACATGCAGTGGAGGAGTCAGGCTAGACTCCAGGGGCCCTCTTTAGTATGTGAAAGCTTTCCCAGAATCCTTGGGTCTCACTGATCTAAAGTGGCTTAGACCTTTCATCCTTAAGCGAGTCATTGCTGGCAAAGGGTATGGAGTAAGCAGGCCAGTCGGTCTACTAGAGCTGGAAGTAGAATCCTTTTCCTGAGGCATGTTAGGTATATATAGGGGCAGAATGGATTTTTGAAATCAGTATTCTGATAAGGAAAAAAATGTAGGCATCCAACAATGTCTATTACGTTAACCTTTTGAGCTTTTTGAAACATGCCAAGGCCCCAACTTTGTGACTTTGATTCAGTGTTACGGTTTGATAGTTACCTCTACTTGATAACATTGATAGGTTACATAGGTTGTTTTTACATAAACAGAATTGAGAACTGGATTAGATGATAATTTGGATTTTGTGATTTGTCCAAATGTTTAATCTGATCATGTTTTTTCTTAGCACCTAATATCTGCCCCTTTCAGTTTTGAATGTCAGAAAACACGTTTTATTTTATACCTGTGGCTATAACGTAATTACTTTAACCTAATTAAAAGTTTTCTCCACTAAGTGCTTTACTGCCTATCCCTTTAAGGGGAAATTTTCCTTTTTTTTTAAGAACAAACACAGGAGAGATCCCAATAATGTAATTAAAGACAATGAGCCATTGTATGTGGATCTGTGTCATTCTTTGTTTTGCACATAGTAATTATATTGCAGTGTCACTGAAGAAAACAAATATATTTACTGAATACAAAGTGCCCATCTAAAGCAATCTGAGTAATTCAATTTGGTGCATTTTAATTATGGAGAAGATAATTTTCTCTATTAGATTAATCCACTCATATCTTGTGTTTGCATTTGAATTAATTTCAGAGATAATAGGGAAATTATGTAAGAAAGGAAAATATACAAAAAAATGTTTCTGAACTTCATATGCATCTTTAGGGGGAGAGATTAGTTACTCATTTCAGAAATGAAAAGTGTCAGGAAAGGAACTGTAGTATTAGCTAGATGTAATTATTAGATTTTGATCTTTGGTCTTCCTTAGGTTAAGCAAAGAATTTTAATGATTCCTTTTCCTTGGGAAAGAAAAAATAGATAAAACCCGTTAGTTTGAATAGTATTTATAGTCAGCACTTTAATAAGCCCTAGTTGGTTTTGCCTTTTTTTTTAAACGATTAAGAAAATTGGTGCTTAGTATATATGCAGTCATGTAGAGAAAACTTTAAAGTAAAACTGAGGTTACAATTTGCCAGGTGAATATTCACTTTGTGTATATGGGAAGCAAACATGACCTTAACGTTCATGAAGCTTTTTTTCCTCATCTCTAAAGTAAGAACTAACTTGAACTTTATAGGGTTGCTACAAAAATACAAAGTATTCAGAGCCAGCATTTGGTTGATGGCTGGTGCTAGGTTAATCCTTTGCTAAGAGACTTGAGGTAGCTCCTCTTGCAGTGTTACAATATCTAGAAAGCCAGAGATGAATGATGAACCCTTTGGGAAGATTTTAAATTATTTCCTGGGTCATAATTTTTAATGTTAGGGTCTGTTTATTTTAAATATAAAATTTTAATCTTTTTTGCCTACCTGGTTGAGCCCAAATGAGACAGTTTTTAATGTGTGAACTGTTATACAGTATGTACTAGCTGCAATTTCTCAGGAATTCCAAATCTTAGAATTTTACTGCTGAACGCTCTCAGAAAATATCTTAGAAATCATCTAATCCCGATTACTTAAATGATTGTCCAGGCTTCTACAACTGGGTGATAGAAACTACACTTACCAGATTGGTAATTCTCCATTCTTTCTCCCTTAGGTGCAGTGCATCTCAAATACTTAATGGAAAGATTATATAGTTTTTGTTTGGCTATTTTGGGGGCTTGACCTAATGCGTAAAAGAATGTTTTTTTTCTGCCAGCAAAACTTCTCATTGTGCTGCTTGCTAGGTAAACAAGGGATACAAAGTAAGACTAAATGATGAACAGGTAGACAGCAGAGCAAAATATAAAAATGGAATACTTACTATACAAATAAGGCAGAAATGTATCTATATACTGGCAAGAAATTTTTCCAAGGCAATTGAGATTAACACAACTAGGATTATCATGCTACCATTTGTGTAAAACAAAGGTATGCTTTAAGTAAACATTTGTGCATGCATAGAATTAATCTCTGAAGGATACACAAGAAACCAGTGGCAGGGACTGCTTCTGAAAAGTTGAACAAGTAGGTGGGCAGACTGAAGTTTGCAGCTGTGTATTACCTGAACTTTTTTTGCCCCTATAAAAATTCTTTCAAAATAAATTTTAAAAATGCACGTGTAGATTGTAACGGTTAGAGTTCATGAACATTATTTGTCTTGGATATAACTATACTGGAATTCCATTTATTCAGTAATTAATTTCAAATGTCATGAAATACCATAACAAGGAAAACAAAGTCAACAAGGCTTATTTTGTATCTTTCCATACTTTCAACAGCAGCTATGTGAACATTTGGAAAGAACCTTAGTAACTAGGCTTTTCTCTCACCTATCTAAACTTGCCAACAGATAGGAAGCTAAATCTAAAAAGGTGAGAAAAAAAATATGCAGGAAGCTAGAATGCAGATCTGGATGGAGTTGGAACTGTGCTGCTGTGACTCTCCCCTAGTGCTAAAAAACAGATGTAGTCAGGAGGAACTAGTGTATAGATTGGCAGTCACCCACATATCTTGAGTGTTACCGTAAAGTCTTATTTCAAGCATAGAGACTGAGTGTTTTGGGTGTCTTAAATACTCCTAAGTTGTATTCTATAAAGTTCCAGTAAGTGGGATACTAAAATGACCACTTAAGTGACTGCTTGTCTCTACCACTAAGCAGCTAGGCCTCTGCCTTTATAAAGAGCAACCTGAATTTACAGATGAAGTCTATCTAAAGCATTTTTCTCTTAAAAGCTCTTAAATGAAGTATAAACAGAGTACTCTTTTAAGAATACTACCTTTTGTTTCATTTTACTTTTTAAGCCTTAATCTAGTACACATTTCTATACTCACATACTGGGACTGTTTTGTCTGTACTATGTCCTCAGAACCTAGACTTTCCTTGCCCTTAGTGGGTACTTAGATATTATTACATAAATGAAAAAGAAAGTAATAGATCACACCATATGCTAACCAAGTCTCTTAAGGACAGCTAAAGAAATACAGATACCCCAGATGATCAGTGAAGAAAAGGAAAAACATACTTTTGAAAGATTTTGTTCTCTAGGAAATACAACAGAAGGAATGAAAATAATGTGAATTTTTGTGGAGCAATTTAAAGGTGAGAAGAGATGCATTTTTACAGGAAATGTTCAAATTTGAAAAAACATGGAGGTTGATGAAAACAGAAACCCAAACTGGCAAAGTGCAGAAAATACTTGCAGATGATCTGAAGTTTTAACAAACCTAATACAATGCACATCTAAACAGACTTCTGTGGCTTAAATTTAATAGAACTGTACATTCATGCTGTGACAGTAACAACTTTCATATTATTTGTATAACTACTTTTCTGTTGAGACTCATGACACAAAGGCACAATCCAAAAGGACACTAACATTCACAATAGTTTTAAATGTGGAGAAAGAACAAATCTGAAGTATTAAACAAAATATTTGAATGTAGAATAACTTTTATGGATCAAGTGTTCTCATTCAAGAAAGTATTTCTACTTTTCTACACTGTGTCTCATTTTGATGCAGTGGTGGTTCCAGGCATCCAATGAGTTATTCTTAATATCCATTTGACATATAGCGATTATAACTGAGCATTCACATGACTGGATAGCTAAAGACCCAGATTCTTAAATATCTTAGATTTTTTAAATGAATTCTTCTGCTCAAAGTCATTTTCCCATTTTAGTTAATCCTGTAAAAATAAGTGCCTTTCCTTTTTCCCTTATTGGAGCACTCAATAATTTAGCTATTCAATACACATTGGATTTAAGGGTTATTAAAAATTTCAAGAAGCTGCCCAACTAATCATGGTGCTTTAAAACAAGGCAATAAAATGCTAGAATGAGGCTGATTTGTTTCCTCACTGGGAATTTTTGGTCTCGAAACAGTAGGTAACTGAAGAAACTGAAGTAATATAAAACTACTTTGTCCTAAAAGTAAACAAACAATCCATTGAGAGGTACTATTCTGTAGTGTATAGAATTAAGAGATGTTATTTTTAAGCATTTGGTAATTAATCCTTTATTGTAAGTCTGAATATCTGGGATGTATTTATAGGGTCAAATAATTCTGGGAAGAAAACCAAGAAATTAACATTTTAATTCTACTTTATAAACGTAGGTCCTCTAGGTTATTAAGATGCTAAGCTTCAATGTCTTTTTTTCAGTCTGAAAGCAGTATGTTACTTCCCTGCTTATTTCATGACCTGCAAAAACTAATTAATAATAAACAATAAAAAAGTGTTCACCTTTATTGTCATCACACAGCTATGTTTAATGTTGGTTGACATGCATTAGGTCTTGGTTTTTCAAAATGTATTTATCTAGGTCAAGAAAAATGGGCAGAAAAAAACCTCACTCAAATTACAGAGCAGTGTTAAGCAAATTCATATTCTGAGCCAAAATCAAATCGTTTTTGTCTTCAAACTTTCTCTGGTAATTTTCTTATAGTCATATAATTTTTCATTTTGGCCAAAGAAAGGCTTTCTTTTGGCAGACAAAATCATGCTTCTGGAAAACAATGACCTGGATGTATAGAATCTGTTTCCTTTTCAACAGAACACTAATAAATACAATATTAGGTATTTATTTTACCTAAGTTGACCTCTTTCGAAGACTTATAAAAAGATCTTAAATCTGTAGTGTATTTTTACCTAATGTACATAATTATGTTCAATTTAATTTTCTGAACTGGTTTTTGGTTAAGATTCAAGAAACCCCAACATGTCATATCCAAAAATTGTCAATTAAAAATTAAGCCACAGTGTTAGTGTAATGTTTTTTAAAAACAACTTTACCCCATTGCACTTCTATATTTGGAAACAAATACATTTTGACTCAAGAAAAAAGTTGGTGACACATTAAAGAATGACTCCAGGAGTTCACAAAAGAGGTGGGATATACTTATTCCAAAATGATGAAAAAAACATCAGTGTGACTTTGAAATGGAGTATTTCCACTCAAAAGTTCTGAGTGCCAAAATAGCTAATTAGTATTATAGTGTCACCAAAATTAGTTTCAAACATTACTCAGAAAATAAACTATTTCTAACAATAACAACTTTAATTACCTTTTTTGTAAGGACTACATTGAACCTTTTCTCCTTAAGGGTCTTATATCTCCTCGTAGGATTATCACAAACCACCTTTTAGATTTCAGATGAACTACTTCTAACCCAGTCCATACCAAAAACACTTCACATTCACAAGCAAGGAATACTATTGCAGGTTACACTCATGTAGGAATGTGTACTTCCTCCCCCCACCCCACTTACCCCCTGCCCAAACTGACAATGCATCTATGAATTACATCTCATTATTGGACTAACACACTCAGAAAGTGCTTAGGCCCTTCCGCTGAACAAATACATTCATATTCCTGTAAGCTCAAAATACTTCATGAACCCTGAAGTGATTCTCTATGGAGGGAGTGTCCTTCGCAAAATGAATTTGGCTAGTCACCTGCATACCAAAATCTCCGAGTATCTCAACAAATTTCTTGTGCTCCTTTCCAATCCAAGATCTCATTGGATCACATACTTGGTAAGGTGTTACATGGGTGTGAACAATAATCCCCGTCTGTGCAAATTCTTTCAAGACTTCTGGATAAGTAACCCAAGTATTGCTTCCTCCAGAATGACCGCCATCCAGCCAGTACATTGTTCTTATGCTTTTGATAAAAGCATCTATGTTCTCGTCTTTCTTGGCTTCTTTCAACTCAAAAAGTAACTGATTTAAAACAACACAACCTTTACTGAAACCAATCAAAGTGAATGAAGCACCATGTAGTGATGGTGGATAAAAACTTATGGCAGACTCATCAAATTTCTCACAGGTCCTCTCTTTTTCTCCCTGGCAACCATTAGCAGTATGAGAACTGGATCTACAATTAGATGGTTTGGAGTCCTTATTCAAATCTTTCACATTCTTCTTTGACAGCAAACTGTTCTGACTTAAGTTAAAAGCATTAACTAATAATGTATAAAGGTGCTTAAAAGCTCCAAAGTCAGTATTGTGTTCTGGAGCACCAAACATATTACTTTTCACAAAATTGTCATAGCAACTGAATTTGTGCAAATGCATTCGGGAACACTTTATCACCCAAATATAACTATTGGGGAACCGCTGGGCTAAAATGATGGCAACATTTTCTAGACTCCAGTTTTCCCACTGATAATTCTCAGGATGACGAGTCATAATTTCATGGTAATTCTGAAAGGTAAGAAAGATGAAACAAGCATTAAATACACAGTTATATAAAATTTTTTCCACAAAATAGTTTCCCATTTTTATTGTGGAGCAAGCTGAGATGTTATAATGACCTATAGTTAATGCACTAGAAATGAAAACTAAATGTCATTACTTTCTGGTTAAAAGATTTTGAACAAGTCACTTACTCAGTTTAAGCCTCAAATCCATTAAAAGTCAGGGTTGTTACCATATAGCTAACTGACAGGAATTGAAAAAATAAAGCACTTACTTTATAAGGATTATAGATATTTTTAGTACATTTTATTTGGTATACATACCATCAATTATTCCTACACATTAATGGAGAATAAAAATTTATTAGACTTTGACCAGCACAAAATTTTAAAGTATTTTCCTATTAAAGCTGCTATCATGAATCCATTCATTTTTGGATTACTCTGGCAACCTGAATGTTATGTTTGATCTCAATTTTGGTATTACAAATAAAGCTGCAATGAAACTATAGGAAAATCTTTTTACAGATCTGTAATTACATCCTTAAAAATAAATTCCTAGTTATAAAAAAACTAGGTCAAAGAATTAAAGTTGGTTATATAGACTACAATGCTGTCTTCTAGAGAGGTATGTATAACTTTTATCTTTGTTACACTTGGTAAGCACAGGATAACATTCTAATTTGGATTTATTAAAAATATGAATGAAGTTGAAATTCTGTTCATATATTCATTAGCTGTTAGAATTTCTACCTGTCCCTGTTCGTATCTTTTGCCTTTCTTATTTGGATCTTATTTATTTATAAGCATTCTACATATATGAGTAACTTTTTGCTTAGGTTGTAGGATATGCATAAAAATTTCACTTTCTCTTTTTTATTCATAATAGCTTTTTTTAAAAAAAGCGAAATTCATTCAAATTATTCAATTATTTTATAAGATTCATTGGATAGCTATTGATTGGGTATGGATTAGAAGACTAAATAAACCTCTGCTGCCCACATGGAGCTCTCTTATAGATACACAATAAGCAACTCCATAAGTAGAGCGACATTGTCCAACAAAAAATACACATTAGCCACACAAAATTTTTTAGTAACTACATCTGAAAAAAGTAAAAAGAGGTGAAATTATTTTTAATAAATTTTATTGAGCTCAGTATATCCAAATTATTATTTCAACATTGAACCAATATAAAAACTACTGAGATTATTATATTTTTTCCTATTCAGTCTTTGAAATCCAGCATGTATTTCACTCTTATAGCACATCTCAATTTGGATGCTAATTTTCATCAGAAATATTTGATCTAAATTTCATAAAATTTACAGTAAAAAAGTAGATTCACATACCCAAGTTGTTCAAAATACTTCAAAGTTTTCCAGGAACTGAACTGAGTATCAGCTTTTAGATTTAAATACAATTAAAAATTTAGTTCCTCAATTACACCAACACTTCAAGTGTTCAATATTTACAAGTGGATAGTGGCTGGACAACACAAAATATTAGATGGTAGTAAGTACAATGGAGTATAATAAAGCAAGGGGAAAGCAGTGCAAGGTTTTGGAGACAATGGAAGATTATTATTTAAAATACAGGGTGGTCTCCAACAAGATGATAGCTGAGAAGGACCCTGAAGGAGTGAATCATATTTCAGGCATTAGGGACTGCAACTGACAAGCCCTGCAGTGAAAGCATGCTTGGCAAAACCAAAATACAGCAGTGAAGCCAGAGTAACTCCAGTGGAGGGAATAAGGAGCAAACGTGATTGGCACGGAGGTCACAGATACTATTGGGGAGGAAGGGTGGTGCTGATCATGCCTTCTAAGTCACTGTGAGGGCTTTGGCTTTTGCTCTGATAAGGGTTGGAGCAGAAGGCTGATATAATCTATGTTTTGAAAGGGTTACTCTGTCTCCTATGTATGAAGGCGCAACAGTTGAAACAGGGAGACTAGTAGGAGGCTATGGAAGTATAATCCAGGTGAGAGAAGGTGGTTTGAACCTTTAAGAGAGTAGAAGCGGAGGCTAAGAAAGATCAGATTCTGAATATTTTTAAAGGTAGAGTCAACAGCATTACCTGATGGACTGGATATAAGGTGTGTGTGTGAGAGAGAAACAGAGTTGTTTCTTCCTTATTTCCAATAGTCATAAACCATATATACTGAACGGTTTTAAATGCACGTCTCTTTTGATGTAATAATTCCACTTCTAGGAATTTATATCAATGATACACTTGCATACATGTGTAAATAAATATATAAGGATATTTACTTCTGCTTTCAAAAGAATAGGCAGCCCTTTGAGTTCTCATATGTGCTGTAAAATAAAGGCTAAAAAAACCCTGTATGCTCTGCTACCATTCATGTTAAAAAAAAAAAAAAGTGTGCTTCACCACAGAATAATATCTCTGAAAGGACATATAAACTGGTAACAGCGGTAGCCTTGGGGAAGAGAAATGAGTGACTGGAGGTAATGGGATGCAAAGGAGACTTAATTTTCAATGTACAACTTTAAATAAACTGGATTTTTAGCAATATGCACATTTTTTTCTATTTAAAACTAATAAAAGTAATACTATAAAAATCTAGTATATATTTCTTATACAAATATGTAAGAAAAATCATCCATAAAAGCACCAATTAGAAATAATCATTACTAAAATTTTGGTGTCTAGTATTTCAGTTTTCTTTAGTATACACATATATAAGTATATACATAAAACACTATTCCTTCAATAAACTTAAAAGAGTTTTCACTCAAAAATATATTTATAGGCATGATTTTGTAACAATATAGACTTGCATCATGATTTCAAGATTTCTCATCAGAAAAATTACTATTAATTTACACTCCCCACTGGAAGTACACAAGAGTACCTATTTTTCCAATCCTTACCCACGATGGCTATTAATTTTTAAAAAATCTTTGCTATACAATAAAATGTCTTACTTTTAATTTGCATGTTTTAATTTCTAATCAGGTTGAATATTTTTCTGTATGTTGGCAATTTTCCTGTTGTTAATTCTCTGTTCATGTCCTTTAGTAATTTTTCTAACAGGATGCTCAAGTCCTTCTTAACAGTTTGTATTTCATTAATATTAACAGTCTATCATGTATGTTAAAAAATACTTACTCCTAGGGGCTATCACTTAACATTTTATGAATTCTACTATTGTCTTCTGCACATCCAGATTTATGAGAGATAAAATTACCATAGAAGCTTTGATCTTAAAGGGCTTACCTAAATTTTTTTTATAGCTAAGGACAATGAGAACCTAGAAACTATAGTTATTTGTATTATACAGTTATTTAGCTAATGAGCCAAAATGAACTCAAGATTTTATTTATGATTCTCAGGTTGGTCTCCACCATATAAGAGGAAGTAAATTAAAAAATTTGGTATTTTCTTTCATTAGTCCAGGTTACATGATCGGGGGTGGGGATGTGAGGGGAATACACTAAGGACTGTGTGCACTATAATGTAAAAATGGGATTGTTAATGTTGTGTCAAAGTCCAGATCTGAGAACAATGGGTAAGTACTCCCATATCCTAAAAAGAGACACCAAACATCCCCAAAGGACTGGCTAACTGGTAGACAAAACTGGTTCTGCAACCCAAACTATTAACCATAGCCAATCTACAGAAAAGGCTAAACATCGTAGGAAGAGAGGGTTTTCTTTTGACAGTTTTCATCTCAGTTGGGAATGCAATGAATGCACTTACTCTCCTTGTGGGGGTAAAGGGGAGAAAGTGTGCTTTTCCTCATTCCCAGTGGTGCTGGTGGCAAGAGAATCTCTTGGAGAGATTAAGGGGTGCTCACTTCACAGGCAGTGATGCTTACTGACCTGCAAAAAACTTACAGGTCCACCCCATACTGCTACTCTAATAAAGGTACAAAGGATTTTTAGGAAAACCTGACATGTGTCTCAGAGAATTTGGAGATAATTGGTGCTACAGATACAATCTAGGTCGACTACACATACAGCAAAGTGAGGAGAACTACACTGGGTATGAGCTGTACTTACATCAAAAACGGGGTGAGCTTAAAGTGGACAAACCAAGTAAGTACCCTGTAAGAACCATAACAGGATCCAGCCTAAGAAGGCTGCCTGGCAGAGAACAGGAAACCCCAGGGTACACAACCAGGTGTGAAATAAAATAACAGCTACCCCCACTTCTGGCACAGAGCTCCTAAAACCCTTGGAGTTTTCTGGGTGATAGGAATGTCTTTTGTTCTAATGAAGTGACTCTAGGTGGGCTCCTGGATGGGGACTGGTCACCAGGAAGACCAGATATGATTAGAAGTTTGGAACTTTCAGCTGTACTCCTCATTCTCTGGAGAGGGGCTGGAAATGGAGTTAATGACTGATCACGACCGTGTGATGAAGCCTCCATAAAATCCCCAAAGTATGGATTCTGGTAGCTTCTGAACTGATGAACCCATGCAGGTGCTGGGAGAATGGTTCTCTCAGAGAGGGCATGGAAGCTCTGTACTCCTTCCCACATACCTTATGCATCTCATGTTCAACTACATCTTTTCTCACAGCCTTTCATAATAAACCAGGAAACAGTAAATAAACTGTTTTCCTAAATTCTGTGAGCTACTGTAGCAGATTAACTGAACCCAAGGAGAGGGTATCATAAGAACCTCAATTTATAGGCAGGGACTTGCGACTGACATCTGAAGGAGGCGGACAATCTTGTGGGACTGAACACTTAACTTGTGGGATCTGACAATAACTCCAGACAGATAGTGCCTGAAGTGAACTGAATTCTAGGATACCCAGCTGATGGCACAGAGAATTGCTTGGTGTGGCAGAAACACCTATCTGTTGTCAGAGTGTTGTGACTGTGTAGTAGTATGAGATGGAGCTCTCTTATAGATACACAATAAGCAACTCCATAAGTAGAGCGACATTGTCCAACAAAAAATACACATTAGCCACACAAAATTTTTTAGTAACTACATCTGAAAAAAGTAAAAAGAGGTGAAATTATTTTTTATA